TTTACTAGGTCGCATGAGATATCGTGCACGAAGTTTCGAGATCGTTCATGAGAAAAATTGTTGTTTCAAATGTTTCGAGCAGACCTGTTTCGCCTGCTCATCTTTTTTCAGGAACACCGTGGCCACGTTCGATTATCGGGACGCCACGATACCGCAATAACAATCGGCGAGGCGATTAAATAGTCTTTAGTCGGCAAACAATGAACCGGAGCTTCGTTTCCTTCGAAGAACGAACGTGAACCGAAAGGTACACAGCGGTATCAGTGTGTCACCGCCGTCGTTCGGGTATATATAAATAGTGGAAGAAGGGAACTCGCGATTACTAATTCGTCGGTTTTGCAAGGTGCCATGCTCGGTGACTGTATCGCGCCGCTGAGTAATCGGCAAACAAAAGAAATCGAAGGTTCCAATGCACGGTTTTTGCGCGGGCCGAGAGAAATGGAGCAGAGAGAACACCGTGGACCGAGGAGACCAGAGGACAGAAAACGACTGGCGCAGGTGGAAGCAGCCTTGGCCTAACTCGGACCTAGTAAGGAGCACGTCGAATCTAGTTTTTGCACTCTGCGATGGTCTCGAGTCAACGAGAAACCTAATCCTTCGACTCCGCAGCGGACGGGGGGAAGGGAAGATCGGGTTCGAGATCTTTTCGAGTATTCGAAACCTGTTTCTCGTATTCGTAACCGGGCAGGAGAACGGGGCTCGGACAAAACTTGCAGGCCGCGGGAATCAAAATTGGATTCGGTAAAGGTGGACACGCATACATGGCACGAAGCAGACCTTCTCGTTCGTATAACCCTATGCACTCGAAACCATTTTAATTCTAAATCCAAAATAGTTCTTCTGACCTACGGTATTTCGATTTTGTACGCATATATTTTTTTTATATAAACAAATTTGTTAATATACGATAAGTTGAATATATTTTTCTTTTTGTGTACTAGTGGGTTGTCCCCGTATAAATTAAGGTATTCATAATATATTAATAATATTAATATATTATTAATATAATTAATATTAAGGTATTAATAACATTATATAATATTATTAATATTAAAGTATTAATAACATTATATAATATTATTAATATTAAGGTATTAATAAAGTACAAATTACTTTGGAACGTGATATAAAAATGTTAGTGGTGCCACAGAGACTGCTACCTTAGTGCAAATGATTGCTAGTAATAATCTGTTGAGAAAAATAATGGCAACATGGAATCGGTAGAAAAAAACATTGCTGCGTATAGTCAAGGAATTCCTGATTTCGTTGTGCCGGGGAAAGTAACTTTGCTGCTCGTAACCTTCGCATTTTTCCCACCTACGCCTACGTTTTCCTTTTCTTTTTCTTTTTCTTTTCTTATGTGTGCAGAAGGAAAACAAATGATAACCTTGTCCAAGCGGATCAATATTTCTTCCCAAAGATCCCTAATTGCTATCGGAGGCGCAACGTTCAGGGTCGAAATAGAAACAATATTTATGTTCGAGCGCAAAGTGCATCGATAAGAGACTCGATATTGTACAAACACGGATGAAGCATAATTAAGATCGTGGGAGCATGTGGTAGTTGCGAACTATTCGAAGGATCGATCTACATACATACATATATTCAACGATCTGTAACGCGACTGATTGCGCCGAAATTGAAATTATACTAAATGTCGAAGTCGAACTCGAACTCCAAGTCAATGTCGCTTTCATTATCGAGAACAATTGCGAAGGTCACAAGTTTATCTGAAGGTTCTCGCAATAAATCGTCCGCATTACGCGATTTAATTGTTCCGTAGCGCGAAGCGATAAGAGATCGCTATTAATTCTGCCGTCGGTATCACGATCATACTCGGAGCTGAACGCGGAGAAAATTTGTAGAGCAACGCCTCCAAGAGTTAAGAAGGGGCAGTCGAAAAGAGAATAACGAGGAAAAATATTTTAGTCCTCTAATATATATATATATATATTTTAGTCCTCGTTAAATATTTGAGTCCTCTTGAATTTTTCAAATGTAATAGCGGTGTGCATGTAAGGGACTGTATAAGAGCGAGATTCCATTATTATTGAAATAATAGGACAAATATTCGGATAAATAAACGACAAATAGTATTCGGCATTTAGCAAGAAGAAAAATACGGTAAAACAATGATTACCGTTCGAGAGTTGTTTCACGTCGAAATTCCATGAGCTATGCTTCTTTCTCTCCCTCTTTGGTTCACCCTTTCTCTGTCAAGAGCATGGCAAGGCACGCCCGTGTCGTACGTGTGCATATGCTCCTCCCGCGAGCTGTATAGCTAGCTATAGCTAGGCTGCCAGCCGTTAGCGGTTAAACACGAACGCGTCCTGTATCATGATTCACGAGGGAACACGAGTGGAACATCAATCATTTTGTAATACGCGATCGCGCACGGAATCGAGCCGCGACTTCCTATCGTCTATCGGTTAATCGGCCGAATGAGTCTCCCGATCGGCCAATCCTTCCGAGAACAACACACTTTTCGAACCGTAAAACATGCGTGCGCCAACCGTTATTACCATATTTTCTAAGTAATTGTCAAAAGAGCCTTTGCCGCGGAGCAACGCGACGCAACGGTTCGCATTGTACCCCCGTGAACGGCAACATTGTAAAACTGGTAGTAACTGGTAGCGTGTGTACCGGCACGACGACGCACGCGTCACATATTCATCGGTCAAACACCATGCTTTATACAGGGTGGACCACCTAACACGAACACCAACTACGCGAACCGGTATATCGCTAAACCCTGGTTTCCATATAAATCTCGATTTTCGTGAAAATTGGAATAACAATTTGAAGTTTCAATTTCAACTCCAACTTGAAATCAGATTTCGGGCATCTTTAGAAACTACGATCGATAATGGCATTCGCTTATCATGCTCGAATAATCGAGCAATCGATAATGCGAAACGCTGGTGATTTTTATCGCATAAGTTGTGTAAGTTTGTGTATAATTATCTACTAATCTTTATCAGAATAATCCTGTAAATATTCTGATCAATTTTCAATTATTTCGAAGCTGCAGACTATCGATGCCGCGCGCAACCGCGTCGTGACGATCGGGAGTATCAAATATTCCGGCGACAGAAGTACTAATGTTGATGTTCAGAGTCATTGTTAATCGATAGAGTCAAATTCGAATGAAAAGCGAATGTGCGTCACGGGAGAAATTTGAAAATCCTTCCGCGTAAACGTCTAAATCGATAGATTCGATCGATTATTGATCGATTACAAAACACGAACAGAGCACAGCTCGTCGACGACTCACGGTGTACATTGTAGATAGATATTGCGTGTGGAAGGGTCGAAGAAACGAACTAGTCGAAAGATTTGTGTCGATAACAACGTACCCGTTCGACGGAAAGAATTCACAGGAAAAGAAACGAGACGTCGGATGCCGAGAATGAATTATTTATAGAGAACAGAAAGTAAGGAAAGATGACGATGTTAGAGGCGACACGATTCCTGGTCCTGTGCGTGGCAGTCGAACATAGAGAGGCCTTCGCGTGAATGCTATTGTAAAGCGCAGGAGAATACAAATAACGGCCTCATCGAGTTGAGCGGATGACAAACGGTAATAGTATTCAGGGAGAAGGTTCTTCGAACGATCACGCTTTTCCATCCCGTTGTTTCCATTTTTTCCTACGACGCGTCGCAATCACGGATGGGATAGAAATTTCATCCGATAACAGATCTTCCGGGATCGCTATAAGCTCGTCCCACGACACGGTCGTGGTGCTGTGCCTTTCTGATCATGGAATACGTGATCGAATAACATCGCGCGTGGAAATTCGGTACACCGTGCACACGACAAGCACACTCGCGTACGCTCGGACACGACGGTCCATCGTAGAACTCGGGATAAAATGGGAGACACGTATAAACGGGAGAGGAAGAAAGCACAGATAGCAATCTCAGTGGATTGTTCGAAACAAGACTGGTGCGTTTGCGTGACGGTAAGATGACAAGTCACTGTCTCGGCGTAGCGCCGGTATTCGTCCAAGATTTCATGAGAAAGGAAATAAGCGAAGGAGCACACAGCGATGAGTACACGTACACTCGCGGGTTGGGTATGGTGGCGAAGAGGAGGGGATACACCAAAGGAGAGAAGAACGTCGCCCGCGGCTAGCAACCGCAAAGGCAAAACTCCTGCGAGTGGTTTACCACCGTGAACTGGTTTTCGGGAGGATATGTCGTTGTTCCGTTTTTAGCGAAATCGGCGGAGCAACGATGCAACGGCGGTCGTTTATGTCTTAACGTCTACGTGACGGAACGCCTAAACTATCCGGCGTGTGTCGTGTGTGTATGCGTGTGGCACCCGTAAAGGGTCGAGAGAAAAACGGAGAGAAACAGGTAGAGACGGAGAGATACGTGTAGAACTTACCCAGAGCTCCGTACCCCAACTCATGTTCGCTGGGCCGGGTAAACCAGGCACGAGCTGCAGCCTTGTCACACTCGACGCACTTCACATGTAGCGTCGCGATCGAAATACACTTTTCGTATCGAAGACGCGTTTTACAAACGCATGAATAAATCACGCGTCAGATTCCACCGCGCTTACCGCTCACTAAAACATCACCAACATGTCGGCCTGTAACCACTGACTGGCCGGACCCAACTGTCCAGCGAAAACCGCCCGGAATTTTGCCGTAGCGCGCTCTACCGATGCTCTCCTGCATGAACGAATCCCGTGGAGGGGTCGATCGCGTTCTCATTGGTCAGTCGTTGCGTGGAACAATGCCGCGACGATTCGAATCACATCGACGCAACTTGTGGAAATACGGGCCATAATCAGCGATAATTAACATTTATACGAAAAGAAATCAACGATTGAAAGCTCTATAGTGCTCCCTAGGGAAACTAGAATTTTTTAAAATTACATCTACTTACATGATATGTTTTCGATCGTGCGCGTTTCGATGGTAATAAACAGGACACGTCATTGTCTAACTTCGTAATTTTCTTTCGTCGTTTCATCCATCAAATAATCGGATCACCTTTTCCGTGGCTCGTATATCGATTATTATACCACGTTCTCCTTCATTTTGAATTTTATACGAGTTGTGAATGACAAGATCGCTTTATCGTGATTTAAACAGTCCGATTTCATTGTAACATAATTGAATAGTGTACATGAGAGCAAGAGAATGTACTGGAAATATTTTTCACTTTCGGGAAATGTATTTCGAAACTCTTGTGTACAGTCTGTACATGTAAGCTAAAACGGAGCAATTGATTCGTGCGTTGTTATAACTTACAATTTACAACGTACATATAAGTGTGACTAAAATGGCGCTGGGTGACTCAAGCAAAGTATCAAAGGTCATTAATTGAATGTAGATTACTTATTTCTTAGATCGAGCCGTGCATATTACTGCGACTCATCTGTCGCGAATTTTCTTCATTCTTTACTTATGAAGTCGTGACATGCCATTCGTTCACGATTTCCCTACAAGTTGATGGAAGAAATGAATACCCACTATGGAGGTTGTATTTGTATTTGTTACCTGCGTTTTCTACGATCATATATGAACGTACATTTTCTTTATTCATTACACTGTTTTATTCCTATGAACACTTTTTTCTTATTACTACGCGCGACTATAAATCATTTTTATACTAGAAATTGGTTATTCATGCATTGCGTTTTTTATAGGTAGTGGAATTATTTAATGAAAATGTAGGGTCGTACATTTTCTCAAGATGGATTGGCAGACTGATCGAGGAATATCAGATATCGAAAACCTTCTTTATCGTTTTAACATTCATACTCTTGATTTTATTGGTCGTATCAATAATCATTCTGCGAAAATGGAAGAACAAAGAATTCCTCCCAGAAGTGAAAGATTTTGTTGGTGTAGGCACAAGCAAACCCAGATTCAGAAAAAGAGACAAAGTTCTCTTCTATGGAAGAAAAATGTTAAGAAAAGTCAAATCCATTGGTGGACAAGTACATGCGACTGGACAAGGGAAAAAACGAAAGGCTGTCATGCGATTTGCACGCAGACTGTTACAATTGAAGAAAGATTCAGTCCCGCAACAATTAAAAGTATTTAAATTTCATCCTTGATTTTGTTGTTCATCTTTTTGCAAAGAGAAATTTGTTTACAAATTATTTCTATATTCCCACTTAAATAGGTTTTAGAACCACCTGCTGAATATTTAGAAGAAGATCTAGGTCCTGGAGATAGAGTACCGCCAGATGCTTTATACATGTTGCAAAGCATCAGGGTATTCGGCCATTTTGAGAAGCCAGTATTTCTGAAATTATGCAAACACACGGAAATCATGAATTTACCAGCTGGAAGCATTTTATTTAAAATCGGAGATCCGGATGAAAATTTATTTATAGTACAACAAGGCTTAGTTAATGTTTATATTACAGGACCAGATGGTTCTCAGATATCATTAAAGTTAGTAAAGACAGGAGAATCAGTAACTAGTCTTCTTAGTTTCACGGATGTACTTACTGGTCACACAAGTACCTATAAAACAGTATCTGCCAGAACTGTGGAGGATTCTATAGTAGTCAAGTTACCAATGTGTGCATTCCAAGAGGTATCTTATTATACAATGCAAAGTGAAGAAAAATTAAGGATTATAACTTTTTATATTATTATACCTCTCTTCTTATGTTTGTAGGTTTTCAAAGATCATCCTGATACATTTGTTCGAGTTATCCAGGTCATTATGGTTCGCCTACAAAGAGTCACCTTTACTGCACTACATCAATATCTCGGCTTATCCGCGGAATTGGTTAATCAGGGGACTCATAAAAAGAAACAGAGCCCATTTTCTGGGTCCCCAGTTAGATCAAGAACCAAAGAAAATTTCTCTGCACAAAACACGGAAACGCTGTCCTCTACAGCTGCGACTGCTTTGTCGGAACAACACGATGGAAACGACATGTTATATCGTGACATTAGTACTCTAAATAATCCTCAATCTGTACCCATTGTCATAAATCCACGGTAAGCTAACGGCATAGATACCATTAATAAAGAATATACATATTTTCACTGATATTTTCGTAATAGGCCAAGAAGTAATCATGATTGGAAAAATCAAACTTTGAGTCCGCAATCGGATCAAAACGTAGCGGATATGGTGCCAGAATGTGATTCTCATTGGTCAAATTCGCCTATAACACCGCAACAGGGATCCCAGCATGGATCACAGCCAGATGTTGTACACACAGGAAATTCTCATCGGACGAAAAAAAGATCTACCATCGTTGAACCAATTCAGCAGCAATTAGATGAAGCACATCTCGTACAAATAGCTACAGAAGCATTTGTTAGAGAACTTGGTTTAGAAGATGATACAGTACTAAAGGATGGCAAGGTTCAAATTAGGGAAGTACCAGCTGGAACATATTTGATGAAGGAAGAATCTCACAAGGACGTTGCTCTTGTCTATGTTGTATCTGGCTCGCTGACGGTAAGCCAGCGCGTTTCAGAAGGCAGAGATGTAGGGCAGGAAGTTCACATGTTTAGTGCCCACCAGGGTGAAATCGTTGGAGGATTGGCTGTATTGACTGGAGAACCCTCTTTTTATACCATCAGGGCTAAACATCCTAGTCGCATAGCACTTCTTAGTAAACCAACATTTTTTTCAATTATGAGAGAACAGCCTACTGTCGTTTTACACGTAGCACATTCTGTCGTCCGTAGACTTAGTCCCTTTGTCAGACAAGTCGATTTTGCTCTTGACTGGCTATTCCTTGAAAGCGGAAGAGCTGTGTATAGGCAAGGGGACGAGTCGGATTCGACATTCATTGTATTAAGTGGTCGACTTCGGTCAGTGATAACGTACAATAACGGAAAGAAGGAACTAGTCGCGGAATACGGTAAAGGAGACTTGGTAGGCATTGTAGAAATGGTTACACAAACCCCAAGATCGACCACAGTGATGGCGGTTCGAGACTCTGAGTTAGCAAAATTACCGGAAGGATTGTTCAATGTTATTAAACTTCGTTTCCCAATAGTAGTTACAAGGCTTATTAACCTACTTGGACATCGTATACTTGGCACCTGGCAACAACCACATGCGAAAAACATCAATATTGATAAGCAGTGCGTACCAAAAGTATTCAGATTCATTGAAATTTCTGTCTGACTCCATTTAGTTCAGACACTGTATAGAATTCGTAGTTAATGATTTTGTGCAAACATATTTTCAGACGGGCGGCTGCAACTGTAGATACAAGGCCGGCTCAAGTAAATTTTTCGACAGTTGCTATAGTTTCAGTATCAGACGATGTACCATTGACAGCGTTTACCTATGAACTTTATCATTCTCTGTGCGCTATTGGACCATGTTTGCGCCTCACTTCGGATGTTGTCCGAAAAGTAAGCAATTCAAATTTAGCCTCTTCTAGATTCGTTTTTATACGAAGAGTTTGTATATGTATACTTCGTTGCCAATAGACTCTGGGCAGTACTATCATGGAACCTGCAAATGAGTATCGATTAACATCATGGTTGGCACAACAAGAAGATCAACACCGAATCTCACTGTATCAATGCGACCCAACGTATACATTGTGGACTCAGCGCTGTGTGCGGCAAGCCGATTGTATTCTTATTGTTGGTTTAGGAGACAGACCACCATCTATAGGTCGAACCGAACGGGAAATTGAACGTTTGGTAATGAGAACCCAAAAGGAGTTAGTACTGTTGCACAAAGAAGGCGGACAACGGCCTATGAATACAGTGCAATGGTTGAATATGAGATCCTGGATTTCTAGTCATCATCATATTCAGTGTCCCAAGAGAATGTTCACGAGGAGATCACAGTATAGGATTGTAAGGCATAACTTGTGTTCAAATTTGTAAGGGTGCCAGCCGAGACAATAATACGATTTTTATTTTCTAGAATGAATTGTATTCTAAAGTTCTTATGTCAGAACCAAACGTACACAGTGATTTTAGCAGACTTGCTCGCTGGTTGACTGGAACCTCGGTGGGTCTTGTACTTGGAGGTGGTGGTGCTAGAGGTGCAGCCCATGTGGGAATGTTAAAAGCTATCATTGAAGCTGGAATACCTATAGATATGGTTGGCGGAGTTAGCATCGGAGCATTCATGGGTGCATTATGGTGCATGGAGAAAAATATTACGACGACGACCCAAAAAGCTCGCGAATGGTCTAAGGTAATTGAAAATATAACTAATAATTCCAACGAATATATCATTAATCTTACTTTGTTGCAATAAATTAATATAAATCGTCTCTTGCAATAGAAAATGACGCAATGGTGGAGGCAGATAATGGATTTGACATACCCAGTGACATCCATGTTCTCTGGGAAAGATTTTAATAAGACAATCCAAGGAACGTTCGGTGATACGTACATAGAAGATTTGTGGTTACCATATTTTACAATAACCACAGACATCACTGACTCTTGTATGCGTACTCACACACACGGTCGGTATTCAAAATCAATAACGTTTAACGTTGTTGAAAGCATTGATAGTTTCCAGTTTTATGTGATCAAGTATGCTTGAAATGTGATGTTCAGATTCTGAATTTGCTTCAACTGGAAACTCTCTCGCTGTTTTAGTGCAGTTCGTAGACCCCGTAGATCTGCTTTTTACTCAAAGTTTTATTTCGAAATTTTAAATATATCTAAATGTTATAGAGTGCCATTATCTGTAGATATAAGCTTGAACAGCGGGAGTGAGCTTTCTGGATATAAATATTGTTGACGTACTCTCCGTCCTGTATCGTTAATTATTATTCGTTAATCGTCAAGGTGAATATTATTCTTCTGTTTAATTCAAAAGAGATAGCTCTACAGCAAGGAGGATCATCCATCTGAATTTGTTATATTAACCAAAACGGTGGTAATGAAGGACCTTGAAGCTACTTGTTATTTGCTCTAGTATACATCAATACTTATTAAAACGATTATAGGAAATAACGATGGGATACACGAATATACATTAAAGAATAATAATTCGTCGTGTTTAGGATCGCTGTGGCGGTACATTCGGGCTTCGATGTCCTTGTCTGGTTATATGCCACCCATGTGTGACCCAGTTGATGGCCATCTCCTACTCGACGGCGGGTACGTCAATAATCTTCCAGGTAATTTGAGCGTGACATTAAAAAGAAGTGCGTCAAGAACCGTACATTATTACTATACATGTTTTCATAAACAATAAAAGAGAAGATTACAAATTGAACGCACGTACGCTCTCGAAGAATATTCTTAATAATTTATTGTTAAATTTTATAAAATTACCTGGACACTATACGATCGTTTAATACTTCTTAATGAAGCGAACAGAATCTTGCGTTCGTTTTGTTTTCATTGAATACAAGTGCCGGAACGATTCATTACAATTTGATCAGAAAATGATAGAACAGTTTTTGAAAATGATGTTAAAGCTCACTCCCGTTGATGAAAGATGCATTTGTCAAATTCTGAATAGCTAAGTGAACTTAGGTTTGCTATGGAGATACATTCGAGCCAGTATGACCATTGCGGGGGTCTTTCCTCCTTTTTGTGACCCTCTTGACGGGCATCTTTTGGTCGATGGGTGTTATGTTAATAACGTGCCAGGTACCTTAAACATGTATTGTTTATTTTCTATAAGAAATTACATTATATTCTTCATCACACGGCTGATTGACAATGTATATATTCAGAATTTATTTGTTTAAGCTGACGAAATGTTGAGGCAAGGAGCTCATCACATTCTGGCTATCGATGTTGGATCACAGGATGATACCGATTTGACGAATTACGGTGATTCTCTGTCCGGTTGGTGGTTACTTTGGAAACGATGGAATCCTTTCGCGACACCCGTCAAAGTACCAAATTTACCAGACATACAATCAAGATTAGCGTATGTGAGTTGCGTACGACAGTTGGAAGAGGTAAAGAACTCGGATTACTGCGAATACATCAGGCCACCAATAGATAAATATAAAACTCTTCAATTTACTAATTTCGATGAAATTAAGGATGTCGGATATCAACACGGTAATTCTTACATCTATGTACTATAAGAAAAAAATATTTGTACACAGTCATAGAAAACTTACATGTTTAATTCATTTTACAAACAGGAAAAACTTATTTCGAAGGGCAATCGAAAGCCGGAGTTCTTCCTCGGTTTAACGCTGACAGAGAGAATGCACGCGCTTTACGAGCTAAACATCAAGCGTCAAATCAACAATCTATACCTTCGTACACTTTCACAGATTTGGCTCAAATGGTGTGCAAAGTCTCCCGAGGAAGTCGATACATGGATATTGATTCTGATACAGATGAGATGGAAGAGTACGAAGCAGATTTAGAAGAAGATGCACAAGAAGTAGGTTACGCGTCTGAACCCACTGCCGGTATTCTAGATCAGGTATTAATATGTATTTTTATTTAATGTTGTCGATGTAGTGTCATGTAAAGCGCTCTTCAATTGTACATTAAATTGTATCATATTATTATTACAGAGTCCCGATGAAAATCTACGACGAAGAACTGGCATCTCCTTAAGTTTGTCAGATACGGAGGCCGAGTCGGAATTAGATTATCATCCGAAAATATTTTAAGCATTTGTCTCTCACTCTTGTTTTAATCTCCATACACGTTCTGCATCGTGTGTGATGCAAAAACGTGCGTAACACTCACTGGTCATATGTACAAAATATAACAACATTACAATCATACATAGTTGTACATGGAACGTATTTATATGAAAGTACAAAAAATATTATTAAGAAAAAATATTAATGAGTATCTTGCTATTATGATGGTAGCAATGCAATCTTTCATTAATATATCACTATGAATTGATGCAGCTATTGTTCTTATCATTACTAAATATATTATTCTATTGTTTATAAAATATACTCTTGTTATTTGAGTGCGTTGCGTTATTGTAGTGATATATAAAATGCCATTTTCAAAGGTACGTATCAAAACTTTGTACTCATTGTTAAATGTGGATCTAATACCGTTAGAACCGCGCCTATCAAATGCAGTGATCCTGTGACAAGAACATAACATTTCTCATTATTATTGTAAGTAGCTTGCCATTGCGAATTATCTTTCTTTATTTTTTGTAAAACTTCTGACACACTATCCGCAAGCACTGAACCTGTTCCCCAGAATGCAGCATTTTTTAAACATTGGTTCTTTTGTTCTTCTAAGAAGAATCTGTTTGTTTCGTCGTCTATACAATTAACACCTGCATAATTTGGTACAAAGTATGATTTCTCAAACTGTAGTGACTTTATAGGCTTTAGTAGAATCATTGGATCTCTCCTTGCACTAGTATTAAAAATCAGAATCTTCTTTCCTCCACTTTCTTTAGTAAGATCCGTAAACCACGAAATGCAGGATTGAATACTTTCCATTGTATGCGCACCATCCAGGTAGAAGTTGCCAATGCTGCTTTCTAAAATCTGCATTCTACCAGGCCATTTACAAGACGATAAACCAATTGCAATTTTATCCATATGTCTAATACTATTTTTATTAGTATTTACAACATTAGTTAAACTAGGTGAAAATTTATTGCTTTTAGATGCCATCCATGTGCTAGCCATTTGAATAGCTAAAGATGCATTTTCCTGTTGAATACTGTTTCTCATATTCAAAATAGGCGATATATTTTCCCACTTATACTCTTCGAAAGGAGGAACAGTGTACAATGTACAATTTTGTTCAACTGCTCTTTTTTCCAACACCCGCATTGCTCGTGAATGTTGAGGAACAGAAAATGCGATAGTTTCGGGTTTAAAAATTCCCGATTTCTGATAAGCTATATCTTCAAGAGTTGGTCCCAGTAAAGAAGTATGATCTAAGGCTAAACTTGTTATACCCACACAGACAGGATTTCTTATAATATTTGTGCAATCATATAATCCTCCAATTCCAACTTCAATTATAGCTACATCAACCTTCAAATCTAAAAATATTTTGAACATTAAAAGAGTTAAAAATTTGAAGTACATAGGCATATCAAATTCATTTTCTTTTGTGTCCTCTAGTTTCTTGTGTACTTTCCAAAAGTACTCAACAAAGAGTGATTCGCTTATCGATTTTCCATTTATTTTTATACGTTCTCTAACAGTAACCAAATGCGGAGAACTATAGAATCCTGTAATATAGCCATGTTCGCGTAAAATAGCTTCTGTATATGCACAACTAGAACCTTTTCCTTTAGTACCCGCTACGTGGATAACAGACAATGTATCTAATGTTTCAGTAGTAACACCAATTCTGAAAAATTCTGACTATAGAAAATTCTTGGGTCTTTAAGATTACACAAATAAATTATTACCGAAGTAAATATTTCTCTATGTCCTTTAACTTGTGATCTTGCGTTGATCCCTTTTCTGACGATAGCTTCAAATATTCAGCATTGCTTTGTAAATTATATAATGCTTTCAAAGTGCTCTAAAAACATAATTAACAATATTTTTATTCTATGATGAATGATTTAATTTAATATAGATTAAACAATTATTTATACCATACCCTCAACAAATTATCTTGACATTGGTTAAGATAAACTTTATGTTCCATAACTACATATAGTTTAGAAAATTCGAACTATTTGCTTCTTTGTACAGAACTACACTACAGAATCATGACAAAAAATTACCTCGTAATCTGCTGATAAGAATGTATTACATTTGATTACAATATTCCGCATCATTTTCTTCCAAAACATAATCTATCTTTGTCTATGTTTATTAATTATTGTTGTATAATGTTATGTACTACTCTAATAATGTATACGCTTCAACTATAGGGATCAGTAGGTGGTCTGGAATCTGAAATGTGCTGCGACACTGTTATTGGAAATGTCAGTGGAATCCATTGGTATCATCCGATTCCATTTGTGAGGTCTTCCATCCACCATTCTGCAACACATTCCAGACCATACATATCTTGTACTTGCATACAAGCTCTATAGCAGCTAACAGACCTTGTTTTGTATGTATCTACTACGTCACACATTACGACACGACGTCACCGTGATCCCTACGCGGCCATGTTTTCCCTACTTCTGGCAATCCTAGGCAATCTTGCCAGCCGATAACGCGCGGGCGCGTTTTTTCTTAATGATTTATATCAAGCTGTGTATTTAATGTCTGTCGATATTCTTACGTTTGGAATCATAAGTGTAATATACAAAGTCATTCATCCAATACGATCATTGAGCTCGACACAGTTTTTAATCAGAAAACAAATACAAAAGTTTGCGACGATGGCAGATATGCCCATTAACAGCATCGCACCACGGAAAATGTCTTTTGGTATTAATGGAAAATTAAATGGTTTGGAAAATAAGACGCCTTTTCTGATCGGTGTGTCTGGTGGCACAGCCAGTGGAAAAGTGAGTACCATGATATTGACTTTTCCGAATAACCGAATCAATGTTACTTGATACTTTACAAATAATATTAATCTTTTTTTACTTAACCTCCACGGTGAGTGTGCATTCTTAGAGGAATATTCGTAAAAATTGTTCCTCGAAATTTCAGTCGACTGTCTGTAATCGTATTATGGAAAAATTAGGACAGGTTGATATGGACCACATGCAACGACAAGTAGTTTGTATTTCGCAAGATAGTTTTTACAGAGATCTTTCACCGGCCGAAAAACGCAAAGCCGAGAAAGGTCAATATAATTTCGACCATCCTGATGCATTTAACAATGATTTGATACTTCAGACGTTACAAGATATATTGGCTGGTGTCAAATGTGAAATACCTGCTTATGATTATAGAACAAATAGTTTGTATGTGTTGCTATTACTTTTACGTTATATATGTTGTGATATCACAAATCAATGATTTCATTAATTTTCAGAATAAAAGAAAAAATTACAACAATCTATCCTGCAGATGTAGTTTTATTCGAAGGGATTTTAGTATTCTATTTTCCAAAAATACGTGATTTATTTCATATGAAATTGTTTGTAGATACAGATTCAGACACTAGGTTGGCTAGAAGAGGTAACATTGAGAAAACACATTTATATATATATATATATATCTTGACTTTCCTTTACACTTTTATATATTGTAATAATTTTAAACTGTTAAGTAAATATTCAAATTTATTCTAACAGTACCAAGAGATATAAATGAAAGAGGAAGAGATTTGGATTATGTATTGAATCAGTACATGAATTTTGTAAAACCTGCATTTGAAGAGTTTTGCTTACCTACAAAAAAATTTGCCGATGTAATTATTCCCAGAGGTGCGGATAACACAGGTAAACAATAGTATACATATAACAATATATAATTATGATATGCAAACTATATTTTCAAGCACATATAGCTGTATATATACAGGGTGAATGAAAAATATTAAGATGAACTTGTTAAAAATACTTTTTTATAATTCTGCTTTAAGAAAACTGTAGTTTGATCTAATTACTAGAATCACTTTGTATATATATATATTACATACATATTGTATCAAAATATTTTATCATACCATTTTAATATTTGGTACATAACCAGGATTATTAACTGATTCATAGATGTAAATTATGCATTCTACCATAACTTTAATTCATTTTCATCCAATCTGCACCTAATTTATGAAATTCAACAATTGTGGCTTTATAACAATAACAGTTTCATTTGTTTTGTATTTTTATAAAAAGATTAACACTAACGTTTTTGTGTTTTCAAAAATTGTATTTTTTATTCAATATAATTTAGATGCAGATCTGGAATAATAAGGCAGCTTAAATTTTTATTATTTGTACATGTCCATATAGCTATTTATGGGTGCTGCCTGGTATTAAAGGGCTGCTAAAACATGCTGTCTTTTAAGTTAGGACAACGTTTACAGTCATATAAAAAAGTACATGGTTTGGTTGTTGTATGTTTGCAGTGGCAATAGATCTTATAGTGTACCACATCTGGGACATTTTGCGTTTGAAAAAGGCTGAAAACTCATCCGGGCAGCATCCATACAACTACCAACGTAGGCGTACTTCAACTTCATCTGACACGCTCAGCAGATGATCTAAGCATGACATGCTCACTTATAAGCACCACACTTTTTCATATATATCATACATTTATGTATAATCAAGTTTACAGTAACTTTCAGATTTTTATTTTAAGTACTTAATACTTCTCTTATACCTTAATAACATTGTATTTGTATTACGTTTATATATCGAGCAACAAACGATATCATTTTTGAAAAGTGTATCTGCTTCCATTATATCCTTGCATGAGGTGAAATTAATTTTACACTATACCAAAAATCTCCAAATATTGTAATTCCAATCAAGCATAATTATTCAAATTTATACTTATGGCTAATATAATAGAAAGCTTTGAGTATTACTTACGTATACATAAATTGTATTGTGCACGTTATTAAAGATGGAAACTTTTTTTTATATAATATACCCTAAACCAGTTCAATGCTTTGCGCATCTATGTAAACGCGAACTAAAATATTTTACAAGACCATTTAAGTCTGCATAAAGCATTCATTGTTAACATAATTCTCTATAATGTGATATTTTTAACTTAAGTTTGTGCATTATACATATACTATCATACGTGATGTTTAATCGCATTGTCTTGTAAGGTGCTAATCACTTTATTCAACACTCATTTCTTAAATGCTCAAATTATTTTAATCCCACTAAAAGATATCATTCTTTTACAGGACATTTACAGTTTGAATTATGTAATTTGATATGCCATTTGTTTAGATTGTAAAATGAAATAATAATAAAGAAACTAAGGTGACGAAACATACAACCTTTAACCATTTACTTATTTTTGATATTTTGTTACAGTGGCGATAGACTTGATTGTGCAACACATAAGAGACTTCTTAAGCAACAGGGGTAGGGTTACAGTGGAACCTGAAATTTCATTAAACAAAACAGAAATACTGTCCAAGAGGCCACATTAACTATTCAAAGATTTAAAGCTTGATAGAAAATANACTTTGTATATATATATATTACATACATATTGTATCAAAATATTTTATCATACCATTTTAATATTTGGTACATAACCAGGATTATTAACTGATTCATAGATGTAAATTATGCATTCTACCATAACTTTAATTCATTTTCATCCAATCTGCACCTAATTTATGAAATTCAACAATTGTGGCTTTATAACAATAACAGTTTCATTTGTTTTGTATTTTTATAAAAAGATTAACACTAACGTTTTTGTGTTTTCAAAAATTGTATTTTTTATTCAATATAATTTAGATGCAGATCTGGAATAATAAGGCAGCTTAAATTTTTATTATTTGTACATGTCCATATAGCTATTTATGGGTGCTGCCTGGTATTAAAGGGCTGCTAAAACATGCTGTCTTTTAAGTTAGGACAACGTTTACAGTCATATAAAAAAGTACATGGTTTGGTTGTTGTATGTTTGCAGTGGCAATAGATCTTATAGTGTACCACATCTGGGACATTTTGCGTTTGAAAAAGGCTGAAAACTCATCCGGGCAGCATCCATACAACTACCAACGTAGGCGTACTTCAACTTCATCTGACACGCTCAGCAGATGATCTAAGCATGACATGCTCACTTATAAGCACCACACTTTTTCATATATATCATACATTTATGTATAATCAAGTTTACAGTAACTTTCAGATTTTTATTTTAAGTACTTAATACTTCTCTTATACCTTAATAACATTGTATTTGTATTACGTTTATATATCGAGCAACAAACGATATCATTTTTGAAAAGTGTATCTGCTTCCATTATATCCTTGCATGAGGTGAAATTAATTTTACACTATACCAAAAATCTCCAAATATTGTAATTCCAATCAAGCATAATTATTCAAATTTATACTTATGGCTAATATAATAGAAAGCTTTGAGTATTACTTACGTATACATAAATTGTATTGTGCACGTTATTAAAGATGGAAACTTTTTTTTATATAATATACCCTAAACCAGTTCAATGCTTTGCGCATCTATGTAAACGCGAACTAAAATATTTTACAAGACCATTTAAGTCTGCATAAAGCATTCATTGTTAACATAATTCTCTATAATGTGATATTTTTAACTTAAGTTTGTGCATTATACATATACTATCATACGTGATGTTTAATCGCATTGTCTTGTAAGGTGCTAATCACTTTATTCAACACTCATTTCTTAAATGCTCAAATTATTTTAATCCCACTAAAAGATATCATTCTTTTACAGGACATTTACAGTTTGAATTATGTAATTTGATATGCCATTTGTTTAGATTGTAAAATGAAATAATAATAAAGAAACTAAGGTGACGAAACATACAACCTTTAACCATTTACTTATTTTTGATATTTTGTTACAGTGGCGATAGACTTGATTGTGCAACACATAAGAGACTTCTTAAGCAACAGGGGTAGGGTTACAGTGGAACCTGAAATTTCATTAAACAAAACAGAAATACTGTCCAAGAGGCCACATTAACTATTCAAAGATTTAAAGCTTGATAGAAAATA